TTGTACCGAACAAGCTCCGAAACTACTAAACCGATTTAGATGAAATTTGGTAAGAAGATAGTTTGATACACTGGAAAGGACAAAGGATAGTTTGTATTCTGGAAACATCCCTTAAGAGGACAAAAATGGGAATAAAAGTTTGCATGGGAAAGCAAACCAGGGACGAACCCGAGCGAAGCGAGGGTGAATCGCTTATATTTTATTAAAACAATAATAAATTGAATTTCTTAATAATTAAACTATTAAATTAATTATTAATTTTTATTTAACATTCAAATATGTTCATTAAACAACTCTTCGGCCAAAGAACAATTATATTAAACAAGGATTAAGATAAATAAACTTAATAAAGTAGCATCCAATAATCTATACGATGTAAAACAACACTGCGTGTGGTCGATTTCCTTACTCACTTAATCCACAGATAAGTTGACGTTGTTCCAACAGAATAGATAATTTAGTAGGGCCCTATTCATACTAACTCACTCACTAGTTACGGAAGTTTTAAATGATTTATCCTTGATATATGAATAGTTTAGCTAAATACGTAAAAGAGATATATATACATATGTACGTAAATATAAAAAAACATACTTTATTTTTGAATTGGCTATTTACTAGGTTGTATTCATATTACCATATAAAAAAAGCCCTTTGCCCTTGCCCCCCTTTTTATTTATTTATTATCCAACATGATCTTAATCTCACAACTAAGGCAAAACTATAACATATCTTATATGAAAATCTATTATCCCATTCAGGTTATAAAGCGTGCCAAGAAATGTTCAAATAACATACATTCACATATATGTACATTGTACATTTGAAAACCATTAGCCTCCTTCAGAGTCTTCAAAAGTCTTACAGTCTGAAGTAAGCCTAAAACAATACACCGCAGTAGCAAGTAGCACGAGAAAGTTCATGTAGACGGTACCGGCGTGTGCAATAAGCCAACTTGTAATTGTTATCGACTACCATTTGCCTGTGGGTTCGTTTTGATAATAATGAAATGTACAAACAAACATGTTGACAAAGACAATGTATTGATTTTGTACGTTAAAAATATTTTTCTTATTAAGTCACTAGTTATTTTGTGCATCCAAGCTTTTATTTGAACTACAAATGACATTACACAGTTTGAAGTACCTAATTCTGTTATTACCCTTGTAATAGACGATAGATGGCGCTAATTCGAAATATCGAATTATTTTATTTCATAAGAGTATGGGTACTGAAACGCGTAAAATAATTAAAAATGCAAAATTTAAACTAATTTCGGTGACTAATAACCATTTTAAATCGGGAAAAACGGAATAAAATACAAATATGTAAAACAAAAAAATAACAAACAGAGCCATCTATAATTACGCAATGCTACTACATAAAAACTTATTTGCTTATCTATACATATAATAAAATTGTAACCAAGTCGAATCTGTACCAATTGAATTTTTGTCTGTCCGTCTGTTACCGCATCACGAGAAAACCACCGGACAGATTTCGATGAAATTTGGTATGATGATAGCTGTTTATCCGGGTAAACATATAGGATACTTTTTACCGCAGGAAAATATCTCATTTCTGAGAAAAAATACAAAAACTGCAATTTAAAAGTATACTAATATGTAAAACCATAGAATTTGTTTTTTGGTCATCTGGACGCGGGCGGAATAAATTAACAAATAAATAAACAGTAAAATAATAAAATCATGAAAAATTTCATTTTCGGATTCTTCACAAGCTAAAATAAATATTTTCAGGAACTACTTTTCTTTATAAACATCGATTACATATTAGTCAAATTATATAATAATAAATAAATAAATATATGTAATAATAATAAATAAATAAACACATTTTATTTCAACAAATTTTTCTTACTTCCTAATTAGACTCCACGGTCCCACGTCTTAGTATCTATGGATTATTTGAGATAGCTCACGTTCTATATTGAGGTGTAACACCTTTTGTTCACACAAGTTTTTACAATGAAATTCTGCGATTATTACATTACAAAATATTGTTATTAATAATTTTCCAGGTAAAATTACTAAGCTTCAGCAATTTCTTTATTTAATTTTAATTACTTCTACAGAATGCCCTACAAAATGACTCTACCTATTTAAACACTACGTCCCCACCGTTGAGTGTAATGTGGCGCCATCTATCTTCTACAGATTACACATTACCCCACGGTGGACGACAATACTTTTAAAATATTAATATTTGAAATATAACAAACTAATATCTATATTAATATTATAAAATATAAAATTATAACTAACAAAATATGAAAAATTAATATGATCTATAAATTACGAATAGTAGTCAATTGAGATACTATAATTAACAAGATACAATTGAGCAACTGTAACTAACAATATGTTATATAGGCACAGTATCCAATATTATACGAATAAGTTTGAAAGTTGACAGATAGTGCATATAGTCATGGGCGCCGGGAGGGGGGTGCAAGGGGGTGCACTAACACCCCCCAAAGAAAATATATAAAAAAATAAAAAAATATGAGTAAAATACCTGTTTAAATTTAGATACCTTCAAAAAAAAGAGGATAAAGATATAAACAAAAATTATAAAGTTAATCATTTAAAGATTAGTGCGAAGAAGCAGATGTACCCCCCTTTTTTTATATGTTGGGAAATGCATTTACGCACGAGGTGTGGGACTCACCGGCAAAACCAGTACTACCCACTACAACCCAACAAAACCTTCCCCCGTCTTAATGGGGCGTCGCAGGATCGCTTACGCATTCAACTACGCGACGGCAGTTCTGCCGAAGCAGACCACAACAAACATGGGGTTGCTCCAAGGTTCACTCTGCTATCAGAGAAGTACCAGGAGCAACCCACATGGTACTCCACCCCTCGAAGTGGGCCACCTCCCTGTGCGTTTCTTGGCTTCGCGCCCGGCTAAATTGCCGGTCACTACTGAGCTCCCACACCACGACAAGGTGAATGCACGTTGGGGGAGAGATGTACCCCCCTGGAACTATTCTGCTACCGCCCATGCATGTAGTGGAAGTACACTATGTTTTTTAAACCAGGACATAAACTATCTTGATTCCAATTTTCACTCAAATCGATTTAGCCGTTACAGCCTATACGAGTACTAAACACGCACAACTATTAACAAACTGTCATATTTTAAGTGTGATAACTGGACATAGATACGTATCTCTAATAGCTATTGAACCCGCTACCCACCAGATGGTCATTACTTAACTATCAAAACCATTAAGCCTAATGATACAAGGGATAAAAATACCCTTCAAATTCATTAATAGTTTCTTGTCCCTTTTAATAAATAGGGTAGTTTGTTATTTTATTAGTATCATTTACATGACCCATCCCTTTATAGTTTGAATCAAATATGAAAAATGGGAATACTTTAACATTATTAGTTTTATGTACGGATATTACATATTAAACAATGTATATGAATTCTTATATATACTAGCATTGCCCGCGGCTCCGCCCGCGTTCAGACGACCAAAAACCAAATTCTTAGGTTTTACATATTAGTATACTCTTGCAATGCAGTTTTTGTTTTTTTCTCAGAAATGAGATATTTTCCCGCGGTAAAAAGTATCCTATATGTTGACCCGGATATCCAGCTATCATCATACCAAATTTCATCAAAATCTGTCCAGTGGTTTTCTCGTGATGCGGTAACAGACAGACAGACAAACAGACAAACAAAAATTCTAAAAACTATAGATTCGGACTCTGTTTCGATAATAATGTCTATTTCAATTAGATTTTCCAAAAAATATTTAATGTACAGATTCGACTTAGTTACAATTTTATTATATGTATATATATAACTAGCTTTGCCCACGACTCCACCCACGTTGGTTTATGTTGGTGTATGTAAACAGAAACCGGAAAAAATTACATATAAACTTACGATATCCTTTAGGCTATCATCTAATATCTATGAACTATCTGCAAAGTTCCTGCGCGATGACACGTCAACTCGTATGAATTATACATTGTAGAAAAGAATTATTAATAAAAAAAAGGTAAAAAGTGATGGACAATGATGCAGTACTCAATTACTTACAATTTGTCTAATATATAATTTCTTACATAACAAGGTTTCAACATGTAATAACTTGGATAAAATCTTTAAAATTTGGAGAAAACCCTCCTGGCATTGCCACATAAACTACGAGACAATAAATATAGAAATCCAATAATCCCTTAAAAAATATGCGTGTAATAAATTAAATGTGTCATCGAAGTGGAAACAAAAGCAATATTTCATTTAAAATTGCCATTGAGCTCAATCGACATCAATTAACAGGCATTACGTATTAAGTGCGGAAGATGACGTAAAACTACGTTAAAGCTTTCACGTATTTTAATGATAGTTGCCAAAGCCTGTATGCAATATTCATTTTGCTATAGGTCGCCGATTCGATTCCCATCATTATTTTCATTTATTTATTATTATTTAATTCATCCCTAATATTATATCTAAATTACACGAACCCACATACAAACGATCGTATTTATGATAATTGTACGATGTATGAGTAACATTCTTATCTGTTTGTTACGTTTTATTTTTTAATGCTCTGTTTGTCACCTTTTCCTGCGTAAACTGCTAAACAGATTTCGATAAAATTTAGCATCAACATAGATTACATCATGAGAACGGATATCCGTTTACTATTTAAGTGAAGCCGCGGGCAAAACTCGTATATCATAAACTAAAAATATGCGCGGCTTCACCTCGATATTTTTAATTTTATTAACATACAATGGAATAGCATTTTCAATTGAGTTTGTACGTAAAAATAATACGATTTTCATCAGTATTTATATACGATAAAACAAAATATCAGTCATAATTATATCTAAAGCAGAATAGTGTTTGAGCAGGCCATGAAACCTACATTTATAATCGGCTTTTCTAAGCACTGTTGACATGCGTGTTTGATAGCCATGGGAAACCCATGCTTTATCTCAACTTTATCTGTAGAGTATGCGCTTACGAGCTATGGCGTATAGAACACTGCACTACATAAACAATTAATAAATTATATAGGAAAAAAAATAATAAATGAATAAAACCTTATTAGAATTTAGAAAGAAAATATTTTTTTAGATATTTTCGCGAATTTATTTTGATTTTTGGTTCCCGACGTTTCGAATGTATTATCAATCATGGTCACGAGAGAGACTCCGAAAAAATCCGAAAAGACAGTTTTATATAAAATGCCAAATATTCGCCTTAATCTAAGAAATTATAATGTAAAAGTATTAACTGTGTAAGCTAAATAAGAATTATAAATATGTTATGGAATAAGGACCCTTAGAACTTTGCATATAATATGTAGGTATTAAGTCTTTATTATACGAGCGAATACAAACATAAGTCTAACTGCCAAATCGACTTTAAACATTTCGAATTTATTATTTAATTCAAAGCCAAAACAAAACAGACCGCAACGCGAGCAACAATTACTCATAAACTTTGCCAATAACTCAATAGATTGCTGAGACCGCGTCAATAGCAGTCGAAATAAAGGTACCATGGTTTTTGAAAAATCAAGACTGTCCTGGATTTTACTGTCAATATTCTCATATTTTATTTAGTTAATATATTTAGAAAGACCGCTTAATTATTATTACTATATAATATGATTTTTTAAACTCTAACAGCTTTCTTTTTGATTTTACTGTAATTTAATTTTCTCATTTTTTACCAATTAAAATGAATGTCAGCTTTTTAGAACAGTATTACTTACAGACTTTTATTACTTATCAACTGATCCTAAAATGGTGTTCTCCATATTATGACTTTGTTTTCTTGTCATACCTTCATGTTTTTACTCAATATCATCGGCTACTGTGAACTAATTCTTATTAATAGTTTTTTTTAATACAAGGTTATATATTTTATTTTATTTTATTTATTTAGGTACAGAAACAGAAAACAAATTAAAAAAATTACATCTTCATATTAAAAACTAAAAATATCATATTAAATTTGTTCTCCAATTATGTCTGTACACAACATTCAAATGAAAAAATATAATAATTATATAAAGAAACTTAACCAAAAAAGTGAATTAATACAGTATGAGTCTGTGCATTTAAAGTAACGAGTACATAAGAAATATTAAAAAACAAAAACAAAATAATATTTACATTTCATGTGGAAAAAAAGGCAAAGAAAAGAAAAAAAGATAAAGGAGAAGAAACAGAGAGAAAATATATCTTTATTATCGAAAATGTAAAGTAAGAACTATAATTTATTTAATTTTTTCTTGAACGATAATAAACTATTATTAAAAATGTCGTATTCATCATTTAAACTATTGTATGTTTTACACATTCTGTGTAAAGGGTTGTTTTGGGAAACGTTATTACTTGCCGAAGGTATATTAAAAAGTTGTGGCTGACGAATCGAGTGAGTATGAATTTTAAATTCCAGTTTTTCTAGTAATTTACTGTTGAAATCGCCATTGGCTATTTTATGGAGGATACATAAATCTGATATAACACGCCGATCTTCCAGGCTTTTTAGTTTGTATTTATGAAGTCTGTCAGTGTAAGTTGGTAATTCACGCCTGAGACCTTGCCTCCTGCTTAATATTTTTAGAAATTTACGTTGTATAGCCTCGATTCTGTTAATATGAATATCATATATTGGTTTCCATACGGAAGAGCAGTATTCAAGTATGCTTCTTACTATAGTGACATACAAAACTATCCACGAGATTGAATTTTTGAAAGGTTGGGCAGTTCGGATGATAAAACCGAGTGATCTATTTGCTTTACTTGTAATGTAATCTATATGAGGCCTAAAAGATAAGGTTGAATCAAATATAACACCTAGGTCCCGTACTACTTTGACTCTAGAAATAACGGTGCCTGCTATGTTGTAGTCGAACGATATTGGAACTTTATTTTTTGTAAATGAAATGATATAACATTTATTTTTATTAAGCTCCATCAAATTTTCATCACACCACATTCGGATAGAGTCGAGATCACGCTGAAGAATTTTACAATCTTCTCTTTTAGTGACTTGGAAAAAGATTTTTATATCATCAGCATATGCGAGGCATTCACTATTTATCAAAGACAGTAGGTCATTGATAAATATCAAAAATAACAAAGGGCCTAAAATAGATCCTTGTGGTACACCAGAGGTGGCTAGAAATGGAAATGATTCATACCCGTATAGAGCTACTAATTGAGAACGGCTATCCAGATAAGAGCATAGCCAACGATAAAGATTACCATGTATGCCCAGATGGCTAGCCTTAGATAATAGTATTGTGTGATTTACTCGATCAAACGCCTTGGAGAAATCAAGATATATTGAATCTACTTGAGTCTTTGTATCAAATGATTCACATAAAAAAGTGGTATAAACTAATAAATTGGAAGTTGTGGAGCAACCAGATACGAAACCATGTTGTTTAATGTTAAGATGTGGTTTTATATGACTGTACAGTTGTTTATAGATCATAGTTTCAAAAATTTTAGCAAAGCAGTTTAAGATAGAAATTGGTCGATAATTTCTGACATCACTCTTATCGCCTGATTTATAAATAGGGGTGATTTTAGCAATTTTCCATAAAGATGGAAATATACCATTTAAAACTGATTTATTATAAATGATTGTTAATGGTTTTGATAATGCAGAAGAACAAATTTTTATAAAAATTGGTGGAATACCATCAGAGCCCGATCCTTTAGAAATATTAATTGATTTGAGTTGAAGTTCAACTGCGTCTGCGGAAAATTGTAAATTACTTATAGAAAAAATAGATGGAGGGAATTTTGGTGTATAATTAATAGATGATATATTTCCATAAACAGTTGAAAAATATTCAGCAAAAAGATTAGTAATATCAATACCAGATTCAGCTACTCTATTATTAAAATGCAGCTGTTTAGGGATATTATTAGTTACTCTCTTATTTTTAGTGTAACGATAAAAAGTTTTAATATTTTTAATTAAATTATTTTCTATATTTGATATATAAGACCTAAAACATATTTCAGTTTGTTGTTTAACTCTTGTTCTTAGGAGAGCAAAAGTATCATAGTCTCTTGGATTATTGTAAATTTTGAAAAGTGTATGATATTTATTCTTGCTTTTGATAAGTTTAATTAAACTTTTTGAAAACCAAAAAGGGTATCTATTATTGCGTTGTTTAGATTTTGGTGTGTATTTTTCTATTATTGAATACAAAATATTATAAAAAAATTGTACATATTCATCGCAACTAAGTATATTAGCATGTCTTTCCCAATCAATTTGTTTTAATTCTTTAATACAGTTAATATAATCGGTTTTATAAAAACACAATTTGGTAATTGGAGTATTTTCAAGAAGATAGGTGACCTTGCCATAATTAAATATAATTTCAAATGGAGGATGATGACAATCGAGGCGGCTTATAGGCATAGCTTTAACTAAATTAAATTTGTCCGGTTGATCAGTCAATACAAGATCAAGAATTTTGTTGTTAAGATTTGTAAGTGAATTAAGTTGTTTCAATGCTGTTAAATTAATGAGATCAAATAGAGCTTTAGATTTTTCACAAGTATAATTTATGGGATGACCTGGTGATTTAGACCAAGTCAAATTAGGGAGATTGAAATCACCCATTATACATGTTATACAACCGGGAAATATGCTGACAACCCTATTACATTTGTTTATAAAATCATCGAAAATATTATATGGTAAATATTCTGGAATATATGCAGTACATAAATTTAAGGTACAGTGACTATTTAGTTTTATTTGTAACCATAGATCTTCTAGTATGTCAGATTTCCATTCATGCTTAATATCAAAATTAATTTTTTTAGAGATAGCTATTAGTACGCCGCCACCTCGATATTTATTAAAGCGTTTTGAAAAAATTAGATCTCGATCCCTTCTTACTACCTCATACCTATTGTCAAAGAATTCTGTTGAAAGAACGGAGTTGTCAAGCCAAGTTTCGGTAAGACATAATATATCGTAATATTGACTTATAATATTATTACAAATCTCAGTGATTTTAGTTTTCATACCACGAATATTTTGGTAATATATTGAGAGAGCCATATTTAAAAATTAATGCTAAAAATAATTTAGTAGAATAAAATTAACGAATAGACTTAACGCTATCCATATTTTTGATATGAATAAATGGAGAGTTTTCATCCTTTCTAACGTAAATTCGGCAGTTTCGAACCCATGTGAATTTATACTGTAATTCTTTAGCCTTTTGACGAGCAGCAGCATGTAGAGCTTTGTTAGCAGGAGAAAGATGCTCGGAAACATAAACTGGCTTCTTCTCGTTGGACATTCCGATCAAAGAGGTATTAAGTTTGTTATCTGGATGAGTTTTGTTATATCTGTAAACTGCTGAATAAAATTCATCACGTCGTCTAATATTTTTAAACTTTATTATGATTGAACGAGGCTTTTCACTCTTTCTGTTTTGTTTAGCTACTCTCGTGAAATGAACAATATCATCATCCGCTATATTGTGACCAATAACATTGGCACATTTTTGAATTATGTTGGGGATATTTTCATTATAATGTTCGGGTATACCATTCAATTCTAAGTTTTCTTGTCGAAGGTGTTGCTCTAAAATATTGATACGATCGGATAAATCAGTAACGGTTGTTTGAAGTACGGAGTTTTCATTCCGTAGACTTTTATTATCATTAGACAACTCTTCGATTTTTACCTTCATTTCATCATGCATTTCACTGAGGAAACTAACTGATTTGCATAAATCATGAACCTCTTGTGATAGTGTAGATAGTTCACTTTTTATTACCTTCGATAGCATTGTTGGAATTTCTATTTTTATTGCTTCCAAGACTTGGTATCGAATAGCTGCAATGGCGTTGTCATCTAAGCTTGTGCTAGTGGAAATGGAAGGTGAGTTAAATGATTTTGGTTTACGCGTAGTTATATTTGAGTCATGAGATTCGGATAAGACGTCTTTCTGTCCTTCATCAAAGGCGAATATCGTTCTAATTGGAGTATTTGTATTGCAAATTTTAGGTTGCTTATTTTTACACGCTTGACACTTCCAAATATTTTTAGTATCCTTTGAGTTAATCTTCTTTTCGGAGACGTTAGCACACACTGCATCATAAGTTTGGTTACACAGACAACATTTGATATATTTATTATTATCAATTTTTTTCAAGCATCCTGCACATATTCGCGATTCACAAGACATAGTTATATTTTATTAGATTAATTTTATAATTTATATTAAATTTTTCAACTGACACATTAACGTCATTATATTAACATAAAAGAGGTTACCTTGCACTCTATAAGGTTATTATTCGAGGGTTGTCTTTTACATTTGGTTCTTTTGTATTGTTATTATTGTATTACGTACGGTATAGTTATTTTATTATTTAGTTATTAGTTTTAACATGTTTGACCTTCACAGTATTTTCATACTAACATTATTAAGTTTTTGAACATAATTAGGTAAGAATGGATATGTGTTTTGAATTAGCATATAAGTTATTTTTTGTTATTACGTCAACGTTAAAATAATAAATAACAAAAATTACCATGTTTCATATTTAAATATCATATTCAATATAAACCTTATTCCACAAAAAACAATAATACGTGAAAGTCTCGTAAACAGTAATTTAATTTGGCAACCCTAATATAAATTCTCTCGGCTTAACGCACCTGACTACGAATATAGTCTAAGAGCTACGACTTATATTATGATATTTTATGTGTTCAAATCTCCAAATCATCTTCTTAATATTATAACCTTAAAACTGACGAAATGAAATGAAAGAATTAATTTATATCTTTTTAAATTTTGTAAATATTATTTTAAATGATGCTTGTATAATGAAATTGAATACTTTTTAGCTTTTAGCTGTAAGCATTTTTACTTGTACATTCTACCAATATATTAAAATTTACATTTGTGTTGCATTACCAAACTTTTGCTTTACTAGAGCACTATAGATAAACACTTGTTGTTTAATTTCACTCACGTGGTAAGAACATCGAAACAAAATAGCCTATCTGTTAATCCGTCATGTTAGCTATCTTTATTAGGAATTTTTGACCGGAACACGGCGGCCAACCTCACTGGGACTAGCCAAGTGCCCAGGATATATTATGGTGTGCAAGTACGCACAAGTGCACTCTCTTACTGCGGTGGGACGATAATTTGACACCACCCAAGATCTCCGGATTTGCAGCCGTGTAAGCTACCTAGACTACTAGACCACTGAAGCAATTAATTAAAATATTAGTTAGGTACTTGCTAAATCACACTTACCAGAATTATGATTTAAAGAATATTTGTAAAAAGGATACACATATATTTTTTTTCATTATAAGTAAATAAGCAAACTAAAGCAAGTCCATATAAAATTATTGCGCATAAAATAGTATTCTTCATTTATATTAATTATATTATATTATATACAAATTATTAGTAATAACGAATTCATTATGGTATGGTATGTTCGGGCTATTTTCCGCAACTCCACGACTATGCGCCTATTTTGCGCGTCATTATAAACTTTTTTAACTTTTTATGTTATGTGCCTATCTTTAGTTAAACATCTCCTAGACTATACGAAATATCGTATAAAGTTTCTTGCCGTTCATATAATTTTTCAAGTTTCACGGGGAAATAACTACCTGTTTTGTATTTCACTAGATATCCTTTCCTTTTCTATGACATGGGGTAAGTATATATGTAGTATGTACGTATAAATTTTATACAGCTATATGAATATATTTTTATTTTAATATATTAAAATATTTATGGAAAAATCTTATTGAAATAGTCATTATTATCGATATAGAGGCCGAATCTATAGTTTTTATTCTAGAATTTTTGTCTATCTGTCTGTCTGTATGTCTGGTAACGCATCCCGAGAAAACTACTGGACAGATTTTGCTAAAATTTGGTATGATGATAGCTAGTTATCCGGGTCAACATATAGGACACTTTTTACTGCGGGAAATCATATCATCTTTAAACAATCTATATTAACCGTTAAAACGTATCTATGGACGAACCCGAGAGAAGCGAAAGTGAATCGCTAGTATCTTCTAAAGTTCCTTTTCGCGGTAACGCCACTTTAACCAGTAAATTAAATATGACCTTCAACCTCTGATCTTAAGATAATAAATGTAGATTAAGTCTCCATTCTTTATTTATGAGAAAATAAATATTTATATAACTTTATCATAACCTATCCCACAGTAAGGTGTAGTAAAACGTGTAAACTTTAAATGTAACGAAATAAGGTACATTTTAGATGTGTTACTATTGAATGTGATGTGAAATATAAATATTGGACTTGTCAACCTGACAAGATAAACTATAACGCTAAGATTTGTAAAGCAATCTATCATTTTTGAGGATTTCTTTGAAACTTTAATCTTAGATTAAACTTTTACATAAGTATATAATAATTATAATTTCAATTCAATTCAATGTTCAATGCCGGTTGAGCATTGATTACTTAATGACATATTTGGAAATGATATTAAGAAAAACATGTTAAAAAGAATTATACCTTATATATGTATTATATGAATTCAAAAATTTTTGGTGGAAAAAACATTTGGTCGGAAATTTAAAAAAAATTCTCGACAACAACGCCCTCTGGCGGGTCTAACTATAGCTAAAAACTACTAACCAAGTAACGCCATAAATACACAAAAATACATTAAAATCGGTCAAGCAATTTGGGAGCAAAAAAATTACATTACATACACCTATACTTATTATAATACGAGTACTAGCAGAACCCGCGGCTTTAGTCGCGCTAAAACTATGAAAAAATCTCTAAAAAGGTAGGTTTTATACAAATTTTCTTTCATCCAATATTTTACCCCCTTATAAATAATTATTAAATATATTATTAAATTCATCCCGAATTTCGAAAAATGCTAAAACACGTATTTATTTAATTATATTTGTGAGCATTAATACTAACTTTCATGAAATTCTGATCATAAATATTTTTTGTATTATAACGTGTTTTCCCGTGGGGATAATCTCTCGCAGTAAAAAGTAGCCTATGTTACTCTCCAGCCATCCAACGTATCCACATAAAAAATGATCCCAATCAGTAACTCTGTTTCGACGTGAACAAAGGACAAACAAACAAACAAACAAACAAACAAACAAACAAACAAACAAACAAACAAACAAACAAACGAACAAATACACTTTCACAATTTATAATATTAGTATTTATAATATTAGTTTAGAAGTAAATAAAAATAATAGATATAAAAGGTAACTAAACATTTTATCATTATCAAGATCAAACACATAAATTTTAGTTAAGAAATCCATTAAAATTAACACACTCAACTAAAAAGCCATCTGTAAAACCTCATGTCCCGCTCAACTTTTACCGAAAGTGTGAATGAGGTGTTGCGACATCCCACCACTTAATAGTGTTGATAGATACTCGTTTAAGAGCTTTAAAAGGATCTTCTTGTAATCGATTTTAATTTTTTCATTTTATTCTAATACTAGCGACTTACTCGCTTCGGTTGTCCCTGGATGATTCTTTAAATTGACATAAGATTTTATTTATGAACCGGTTGAAAAAAAAACAATTACCTACTAAATGTTAAATGAAGCTAACTTAAATACATTAGTGAAAACCGCAGCCAAATCGGTGAAACCGTTCCTGAAATTAGCGCAGACAAACAGAAAAACAAACAAAAATTCTAAAAATCATTTTAAAACAGTTACAATTTTATTATATGTATAGATTTTATTTTGACCGTTGTGAAAGAATAAAAAAGTAGTGGGTTAAACCCCTGGGGTTCCGTCTGAACAAATTTTCCAATTTGTCCATTTAAAGCATATTGTACTGGCAAGAGTCAAATAATAGCTATAATTAATACTTATATTATATATAATAATTATTATATTATACTGTTTTCAAAAAATAAATCTTAAAAGGCTTTAAATTATATAAATACTTATTACTTCTCATATTAGAGACTTTAAAATAACGAATCTACTGTTTGGAAAAATAATCAATTTTATATTGTTATCGAGATAATATCTGTTAGATGACTAAATAAAAAATAAAAAATGTATGAGCAATACAATTATTTATTGCTATACAAAATGAATTTGTAACCTATAGGAAGTAAATATCACAACTTATATATGTAAGTGTTTTATATATTTAATGTCATCCTGTGCCTAATCTATTTCTAATGACACCACTCGTATGAATGAGGTGTCGCGACACTCAGATAAAGAAGTTCAATAGTAATGGTCGACGATATTGTTTTATCAGTTTAAAATTTTAATAGCTTGAGTTCTTTAAAAAATATGTAAACTGATGTTGATTTTTAGGGTTCTGTATCCGAAGGGTGCCAACGGGACCCTATGTTCGTGCTGTCCTTCCATCTGTCTGTCAACAGACTGTACATCATGAATTTTAGAAATTTTCAGAGTGTGTATTTGTATAAATTTATAAATATAACTTGTATTAATAAAAAACAAACAAGATGACGAATTAAAAAACAGCAAACGCTATGCAAATGTCTTATAGCACCTCTCTTGTTTCTTTTACAAAAGTATTTAAAAAGTACATAGTGTTATATCTTGTACGATGGTACGGAGCCCATTGTGTACAGGTCAGATTCGCACTCGATCGGTTTTTATTTCTCTAGCTTTTTTATATCTGTAATTTTACCGAATAACTCCAGAAGAATGATAATGTTTTTAGAGTACATTTAGCATTTTAACATGAGGTATTATTAGATTAAATTAATTACGAAAGTGACATAGATCAAAATCATAATATGTTATAAAAATAGCATCTGTGAAAAAGGAACTAATAAAATTATAAGTTATTTTATTATAACAATATTGATATAGCAGAAAATTTCTAGTTCTATAATATAATTTACATTTCCTAACATATATCTCTTCAAAAAGTGGCGCCAACATGTGACGTTAAGTCAAACCAAGGAATAAAATTAAAAAATCGAAAATTCTAATTATCTAAACACAAATTCGAACTTACGCACACCACGTAAAGTACTTTATTAAACAAAACAACATGCCTTTTAATTTTGTCATCCGAATAGCAATGAACAAAAGAAATTTAAAAAGCTCACAATCGAGGATAGAACAAACTATTTTAATAACTAAAGAAACTCAATTGATCAAATAATCAAAAAATATAATATCAT